TCTGCCCTGGCAGGACCTGACCAGTGTGTGTATATGTGTGTGTGTGTTATACATTATATATATATACAGTACGCTGCAACTTTAGACACTGACGTTGCTGAAATACCAACGAGCTCCATTTATCCTCGACACTTTACTGTAACACGCGACACAGATGAAGCCGGCCCCCCTGAAAGCTCCGCAGCAACTTCTTCTAAATTAATTTATAGTTTCAGGAAACTTGGAAGTTTGGGCATTTGGAGGAGTTGACTCGTCACAGGCCTTGGGTTTCAAATATCCTGAAATATTTTACACAATGGAAACCAAAATAAACTGTCACAAGGTGTTAAACACAAAAAGCAGCGAGGTTTCGACAGGCTGAGGAATGCTGTCAGAATGTTATAATGGTCTTTGGATTTGAGCAGAAGTTCATGTTACTGTTTTACCATGCGATCTTAGAGAGTATTATGGGATATCCGATAACAGCCTGGTATGGTAACTTGTCTGTACAGTTGAAATCACAGATTGCCCGTCTGGCACAGACTGCTGGGAAAATGATGCGGGCTGAAGTATACTCGTATACTGTGGAACTGCAGGGTGGATGCCGGAACACACTTCCTCACAGGGACATTCAAAATATATGTTACGTAGATTCATTGTTTATTGTATACAATGTCAGATCCATCATAACCACTCCGTATAACTTCAACTTTCAACTGCATCCATTACGAGCAGGTCGGACCGAAAGCGAAGCGCCTCTCCCCGCTTCTCCGATCTCTCGCTCCTGACCTTTGACCCCTGTGCTGCCAGGAGAGACAGCCCGACTGACCCGGGACATGACCCCCCCCCCCCCCGTAACCACGTAACCCCCCCCGCCCCCCCCCTGTCTCTACCCCCCCCGGCGACAACCCCCGGGGGTTGTCGCCAAGGCAGGTAAAAACAGAAGCAATACATCTCCGGTTACGTGGTTACAGACGGTAAGCTAGCATGTCACGGGGTGTTTGGTGGGCCGGAGGAAGTCAGAAGTTAAGAGCATGTTCTGAGGTGGAGACATGGTAGAGCCTGTTGTAGAGGGTTTTACAGGTCCAGAGAGATGGAGCAAAGAAACCTGTTCCTATTTGACCCAAGATGGGCTCTTCTGATTGAAATAGCATGAACCGGCACTGAGGATCTTCCACAAGAACTGGACTCAAGTTGGTGAACTCCAATGAACCAGCACAGGAAAAATTCAGTTTGCTTTTAAGCTGTCCACGACTGTATTCGGACAGACAAAAGCAGAAGAAATGCAGCTCCCCTTATTCATTTCAATAGGAAATTAATGAGCGGGCATCTGTGCCAAGTTAGGTCTGAGGTCTGAGGCAAAAACACGCACGTTCATCCAGCAGAGAAGGTGAACCTGACTCAACCTTTGCCACAACGCAATGCAACCACACATTCTTGGGGGTGATTACTACCATTTGTCACAAAAGAGGCTAAAACAATTGCTGGCGTCAGAGTTGTAAAATCCCTTTAAGCCACTTTGAAACGATTTGGCACCCGAAAAGCTTTCCAACTTGTGTAACTGTTACTCAAACTGGCCTTTGTCGATTGTATTCCATCGTCTCACCAGGACCTGAAGCAACACGCCCCACCAATGCAGACCCAACGCATTGTTTTACAGTATCACGGTGCGCTTTTATCTAAAGTGCTAACTTTTGTGAACATAGCATGATCGGAAACCTGCACAGAACTGACTCTTGAACTGGGGAGGGAGGTCTGCCTGAGTGAGTGTAAGGTGGCCATGCCAGTTGCAACGAAGGAAAGCAGGAAATAAAGAGAGAAAGAGAAATGCAGACAAGAAGAAGATATGAAGAGGAAACACAGAGAGAGAGAGATCAAGATGTACCAAGAAGCCGGAAGGAAGGAAAGAGCGAGAAACTGACATGGTGAAAGAGAAGTGAAAGTTGTGTCTACCGACTATCTTCAATGAAATGAAAAGACTTCTGGGGTTGAAAGGCATAAGAGATTCCTTTCAATCCGGGTCTCAGCGAGTCTATTTATTCAGTCCAATTTTTACTGCTATTTTTCAAGCTATCAGAGGCGCCGTACACACCCAACAGTAAACGAGCAAAGAGCTCTGAGGACCATCCGACTGCTCCTACGTGCAAATTGAGGAATACTTAGATTTCACTATAATTTAACTCTGGAGAAATTACACAAACCAGATGCTAGATAGGAATGACTGCTCTGCTAATCATAGGGTTCACCCCCCCCCCCCGCCACACCGCTATTATCTCCCCACTCACAGCGGAGACAGTAACACAGTTTCGCGGTACTGTAAATCAACTAAACATCTGAAATCTTTGCTTATGGAGACGCTGAGATGAAATGTTATGACGTTGAGGGTTGGTGGGAAGAGACCATCAAGTATTATCTTCAGGCACATTTATATAAATTACTAAGCGTGTTCACAAAATTGTTTGGGGGAGTATATATTTATACACACTCGGTTGTCATGCGGGTGCCAGGAAAAGTTGGGAAGGCTTGTTTTGCTCTCTCATTTGCACCCTGTTAAAGATCTAAACCATTCGCCCACTGCTCAATTAAAGCACACAATAGGGGGGGGGCCGTTTGGGAGACAGCCCATCTGTTACTGCCATCCCTCTCTGTTTGGTTTCCTCCACAGGGAGCAACAGTTTGGAAAAGTCTGCAATCTGACTGGATATACACACGTTTTTGGTCCAGCGTCTATATTTTTACACCCCCATATGTTTCTGTCACAGCCTGTAATTGCACCGTTAATGAATGTTAGTTAATGAATGTTAGTTAATGAACTTGACCTTTATTTGACTGTTTGATCTTTATCTGCTGATAACACAAAGATGCACATAAAGAGCGGCATAACTGGTAAATTACCATTGATGAAAGGGGAAATAACCATATTTGGATTCAGAAAGCAGAATATCAAAACAGATGTAGTTTAAAAAAGATGTTTAATGTCATTCAGACCCCTGTCTTCTTTTCTACTGTTTTAATATCTGCTCTTAATATCTGCTCTAAACACATTTGGGCTGTGGGAGTGTGTTAGGTCGTCTCCGATAACGCCCTTTGGCAGGTTGTGGGGTGACAAATCATTCCAGCTGACCCAACAGGTCAGTAATGTAATGATTCATTAGACTGCTGGTGATTCATTAAAGCATATTGTGATTTATTAAATCATTTAAATGTCACCCTAGTGATCAGATGAAATGATGTATCGGCCCTAACGTTGACATCCTCATTGTAACATTCTTATTAACATATGTTTCCAAAGCTTGTTGCAAAAATATAATTAGAGCCACTCAACATATACGATCGTGTGCCGAATATCACAGTGGACACTAACGATTTAAAAAAAAGTAGTAGGTTTTGATCCACAAAGCCTGTGTGTTTGGCAATAAGCCAGGTAACGTAAAATTGGCACATTCTTTGAATGTAATAAGTTTCTTTGATAGAAAACGGCGCACGTAAAAAGTTACGCACAAGTCAAACACCAATAGTATAGTTTGATTTGAAAAGTGATCGTGACTTATGTCAACTACAACACTCAGGACAGAGAGGGACACCGCATTAAACACATGCAATATGTCCACGGTCTTCGGCGGACACTTGGAGCTGCCGTGCATTTCAAACGGACTACAGTCATAGCTCGTTTTAGTTCTGCCTAAACGCTACTTCTGGGAAGCTGTGTGACATCTGAGCGGCCATATTGCAGAAAAGTTTTAACTCCCTGTTCACCTTGTTCCTCCCGAATGAATGTGCTCCTGAACTCACCAAAACTCGGATGCAATTTCCACATTAAAAGTCACACCTTCTATCAACTTCAACCGAAACGCGTATGTCTGTGTGAGCGACTACCGCTGCGGCCTTTAACCGTAAAACGCGGGTGTACTCACCGGGACTGTTTTCGGCAGGTATTCGTGTCCAAATACCAACATCAACAGTGCAACGTGTTGTACCGACTTAAACACAGTTTCTTCTCTCTTCAAATACACACTTCCTCTTTTCGCCGTATGCTGCGGTTCTGCTCTTTTCTGATTTAAATAATACCCCCCCCCCCCCCTCCCGGTCCCGTTATTTATTTCCGTAGCCAACCATGTTTCACCCCCTCCATACTGGTCGCTGCTGTGATGAGGAGTACTATTTTTGAAAGTAAGTCACTCCTCTCTGCGCTCCGTCCTGCCCCCTCGGTGACAGTGAGCGGCGTGTGTGCCGCCGACACACACCACCTGCTAATCAACGTTACTTACCTAAACACGTTCAGTAATAACGCTGTTTTAATCAGATTTTACAGAGATTAACTTATTGTTCATGCACAGTAAGATTTCATTTAATTCGGTTACATAATTTAACTGTTGCTTCTCATATACAGAGTCTATGGTCACATCCGGAATAAATGGTAAGCTGTATGCCATTTTCATGTTGGTTTAGGTATAAAGATACATACATACGTATTTCAACTGCCGTTAAAGTTGGTCAAGTTGGAAATACGTATATTTTGGCTACTCAAGTACTTTTATAGTCGAATTAAGTATAATTCGTGGATGTATTTGACTGAGTCCAGTGGTGGAAGCTGCCTAGGCTATTTATACAGTATATAAAAATAGTCTTGACATAATTGTACTTTATGTACTTGAAAAAATATAGTGTTGAAAGTATCTTAGTATAGCCTATTTAGTCAAGTAGCCTACCCTACTTAAGTACCATGCTGAGGTACTTCTACTCCAAAAGGAAATAAAGTATGCCTGTACTTTATTCTCCACCACAATTATTTGATACATTTAGTTAGTTATTTTGCAGATTGAGACCAATAATACAACATATTAAACAAATACATTCTGATGTTTTATTAGGGATAAATATAAGACTGTATTGAAATTCACAAGACACCCGGCAGTTTTTAAAGGCTCTACCTTTAGTTATAAATGCATCACTTATTAACTCAATAATATAACACCTATATTATTCTGAAATTGCCTATTCTGCATAATGAGTTGCCTACTTTTACTTTTGTGTTTTGATGTTTAGTGTTTAATGTTTTTAATACTTAAGTTTGAATGCTGGAGTATTTTTACACTATGTTGCTTTTCCAACACTAGAAATTGCACTTTTTACTCCAATGGCTTCATGGCTGGATTAACCTGTCAGGGGGGACCTGGGCATCAAATTTGCTGTTGGGCCCCAATGGTTGTGTTTCATTTTTGCTGATGTGCAAAAAGATATACATGTAGAAAAGTAAAAAGTATAATATTTGCCTTTAAAAAAAAGAATAAAATGGAAACTTTCAAGTGAAGTAAAAACACCACAAAATTGCACTAATGTAACTTGAGTAAATCTTCTTACATCCTGCAACTGCTGAGTCAAATGTTTTTTTGTAACCGTGTTATTCCTAAAATAAAAGTAAGCAATAGTTGCACTCTATATTCCTAAAGGAAGAAGCGGTAACAGTATTGTCAGTCACCGACTGTCACTCCTTCTCTCTGTATTGTATTTGACCAACCTTCATTCTCCAGAGGTTGTGAAATTCAGCAGCCCTGTGTGAGTGACACACACCGCTGTACTCTGCAGAGGATTTTAACAATACAATGAATATGAAACATCAACCATCATATATGCAGGCTTCCTAATTTGGACATTAACTGGCTCGACGGTTTCCCAAACAGAATAGTTGACAACCTTAAAGCTATAACTACTCATCACATTGAGATACATCTACTGTTTTTGACTAGAAGGCTGCAACAGAAAAAGATAATTATTCAACATGTGGGAAGTCCTTGAACGCCTTGGTTTCTAAAGGAGGAAGAGGCTTTTTAGGGAACTGCGGAAAAATATGCAATTCGTTCAAAAAAATATGCAACTCATTGAAATAATGTACTCATTCGTTGCATGAGAGGAAATATTAACCAAAATCAGACATGACTAAAACAGATTTCCCTCAAATCTGTCTGTGTACAAATATGTTCAGTACGTGGTTATTTCTTAAGTTGCATTAACATCTATACAGGAGTACAGTAGACCATTTAAAAAATGCTGTACATCTTGCGCACTGCAGCCACTCTTTTAAAGTCAGAGAAGCATCTAGTAACATATTAATGAATAATAGAATAATCAGAAATAGAATAGAAGATAGAGAATAGTAAGTAAAAAAACCTCGTGAAAATATCAGCAAATGTATCCATGTACAACAGATACATTCTCAATCTTATTTACTTGTGTTTTGTCAAAACATAAATAAGTAATAACAATTGTGTTTCCATTTGCCAACATCAGTTAAAGATGCTTGATTTGACATTCAGAGCATTAATAAAACAGCAATATAGCGAAGGTATGACCTGTCCTGCTCTCCCTCTGATTGGCCCTTCCCTGATATTCTTACCCTAACCCTAACCAATCTCACTACTCATGCCTAAACCTAAAAAATCCAACCAACGAAGGCAACCAGTACTAGCCATTCAGAGGCAGAGTGGGCGGGTCATTTCTTCACCGTGCAGGATTCGTAACCCCTCAGGTACGCACTGTTAGCTCTCTCAGCACTGTTGCTGTTGTTTGCACTGCTGGCACTGTTAGCACCGTTAGCATCCAGCTCGGCCGTCTCCGTGTTGAGAGCCATGCGGGGGCAATATATAGACTCTGAATTTTAAATTTAGTATATTTAGTATATTCAACTTTAGTATATTTATAGTGCAACATCACCCAATGAGTCTCCACACACCCAAATCCCAATCATACACATAAACATGTTCATACAACATCAAAAACATTATGAACGTGTTTCCCACATGTATATGGTAATTCAATTTTTTTTTGTGACTGACAGAAATCGTGTTTTAAAGGGCAATGATAAAGCAGCTGTAGACATAAGTGAACATTTTCATGACAAACTATTTAATTGTTTTAGTATTTATTGTAAAACTACACTTTTGTTAGAAGTCTCCGATACGTCACAGGACATAAGAACTCCATTAAAATCCACATTATTTACATTTTAAAGCATCTATTCAAGTATATAATGTTGGCAACAAAAATCAAGATTTATGCCAAATTTACACAACACAAACCTGGCAACATCACATTTTTTGAAAAACAAGGCATCCTAACCTGAAAACACAACAACAAAACATCCAGCACATAGCAACAAAGGACTGCAAACATGCAAGCGTACTTCCCTTCCTCATGTAACTCTGGAAAGAAAAGGGAAACCCCGTCCAGCGTCATGTTTACATTGCACAATCAATGCAGCGTTCGACACAAGGGAGGCAAACACTCACAGATAAAAACGCTGCCAACAGAAATCTCTGCAGAATGGATCTTTGATTTTCACATTGCAGCAGACTGGTGCATTATTTCATCAAATATCAACAATTGCATATTTTCTTTCAAGCCGTGTGAAGATGTGGACGCTGAGTCTTCAGGTGGTTGTCGTCTCGGTCTTCCTACAGGTAAGTAATAACAGAAATGGATATTAAAATGATACTGTATTCATACTGAAACTCTGTGAAAAGATTTTAGCCTACAATTTGAAGATACGGTAAGTTTATATGTATAGCACTTACTTAAACACAAAATAAATTTAATGTGCAGTTTACAATGTTTGGCAGTGCAGAAAAATGAATAAATAATAAAAAATAAATAAAAGTATTTTTGAGGGAAATGAAGTAGAGAAGAGTATTTATTTTCTAGGATTGTATACAAAAGGACACTATTACATCAAAACTGTATGAAAAACAGACCAAAGCAAGTGGCTGTAGATAGATGTGATTAAGTCTTCCATTAGAAAAGGCGACAATCAACAGGAAGTTATTACATGCAATGTATTGCTTTTGTGAATTATTCGGACTTGATATATAATCAATGAATGGAAACAAAGTTACGTGTATGTATCTGCGTTGTTTGTTTATTTTAACAAAAGTTTGTTTTCTGTATCTTTCTATCTGCATGAGACAAACAAAAGTTTAAATTGTTTCAGTTCAGTTGCAGACCAGTAATGAGTAATACATTTGAAAAAAGATGAATTCATCAATCAAAGGCACAAGGATTTTGGAAATTGTCTATAAATAGATATTAAATCTTGAGTTACTGCTTAAGCTATTTACAAATATGGGTCTTTGTTAATTTCTTTGTTTTGAAAGTTCTTTAAATTAGAAAACAATAAAAAAGATAAATATACAGCACATAAGAATCTGTAATTAAATGTAAGCATTAAGTGGTAAGTGCTCTCCAGCTAAATATAATAATAAACCACTTGTGTTTTTTTAAAATGTCCTCTTTCAGGTGCCGGGGTGTTTCCCATCGTGCCTCATTATGGGCTCTGTAGCCAACTGTGGCTCCCAGAACCTCCGCTGGGTTCCTCCTCTCCCTCCTCACATCACCCACCTGTACCTGGAGATGAACCACATCCGTGAGATCAACTCCACCTCCCTGTCGGGCCTGGAGGAGCTGCGTGAGCTGGACCTTGGACGACAGTATGTGCCTCTTGTGATCAGGAACAACGCCTTCAGCGGGCAAAGACTCCTGAGGAGGCTGGTGCTCGGCTTCAACATCGGCCTTCAACTGGAGCCGCAGGCTTTCGCCGGACTGTCCGGTTTGCAGAATCTCCACCTGGATTACTGTTCGCTTCAAGAGTCCATACTGAAGGAGAACTATCTGGAGCCACTGTCCTCCTTAGAGACTCTTGACCTCTTTGGTAACAAGATAACAAGACTCCAGCCCTCCATGTTCTTTACAAACATGACTAATTTGAAAGTTTTGAATCTCAAGCTGAACCAAATTGACAAAATATGTGAGTCTGATCTGGTTGGTTTTCAAGGAAAGAACTTCAAGGTCCTGAACTTGGACTCTGTTCACCTGAAGGCCATGTTTAATGAACATTTTGACTGGCAGGAATGTGGGAATCCTTTCAGGGGAATGTCCTTTGAGACACTCGACATGTCCTACAACGGGTTTAGTGTGGGTAAGTCCGAGCAGTTCTTCACAGCCATTAAGGGGACTAAGATCTCCCATCTCAAACTGTCAGGACACATGGGTAAAGGATTTTCATTCAACAATCTTCCCGATCCAGACCGCAACACGTTCGTAGGCCTAAATGACAGCTCAGTCCGCACTTTGGATCTGTCTAAGAACAGGATATTTGCATTGCAACAGGGGGTTTTCAGTCTGCTGAAAGAAGTCGCAATCATTGACGTTTCCCAAAACAGAGTGAATCAGATACACAGACATGCCTTTGAAGGGCTTCAGGGACATTTAAAAATGGTCAACCTGTCACACAACCTGCTGGGGGAAATCCATTCTTACACTTTTGCTTCTCTGACAAACCTGAGAGTATTGGACTTGTCCTCCAATCACATTGGTGCTCTGGGTTCTGGCTCATTTAGTGGACTCCCACAATTAAAAGCATTATATCTGACAGGAAACTCTTTGCAAGACCTTGGCTTTGCCGCGTCTCTCCCGAGCTTAGATTATCTGCTGTTGAATGACAATAAACTGACGCCGTCGTCAGTGAGCGGTCTCGCACGCTTTGCCGGTAATGTCATGCAGCTGGACATTCAGGACAACAGATTGACAAACCTGGGGGACGTTACCATGCTTTTGACTCGACTGAAACGCCTCCAGCATCTCTTCTATGGAGGAAACAGAATCAGATGGTGCTCGCTCAGTGGACGGGTTTCAGCAGTCGGTTTGAATGATGTCCGAACTCTGGATCTTCACGGCAGCTCCCTGCAGTCCCTGTTGTCTCAGGGGAGGTGCCTGAATCTGTTTGACAATCTTGGACATGTGATTGTTTTGAACTTGAGCTTCAATGCGCTGCAGTCTCTTTCTCAGGGCCTTTTCAAGGGCCTCACCTCAGTGGTGGAGATGGATCTCTCGTCCAACAGCTTGACCTATCTCCGGCCTGATGTGTTACCAAAAAGTCTCAAAGCACTCAACCTCTCCAACAACTTCGTAGCCTCCCCCGTCCCCGCCGCTTTTCGCTCTCTGAGCTTCCTCGACCTGAAGATGAACCGATTTCACTGCGATTCAAACCTGAAGAGCTTCCTGACGTGGCTGAACAAGACCAACGTGACCCTTCTCAGTCCTGTTGAGGAGCTCAGATGTGAATTTCCTTCTGGTCTCTATAATGTTCCTCTGTTAGATTTCTCTGCTCGGACGCAGTAAACTAGCAACTAAACGTGAACAAATATGTTTGACCACTCAGGGGGACAACCAGCGAATCGTAAGGAATTATACACAAGGGCCACGTAATGTTGATCTGTTGAGTCTCTGTATGATCTGAATTTGTAAAAAAAGTGCCTGATAATGAAATCTCTGAAAGAACTTAAAATTTGTGAAGGAAAATGTTAATGTAATTCATTTTCAGACAATATAATACAATTTTACTTTCCATTGTTTAATTAAGTGGAATAATAAATGAAATAAATGTATAACTGTATCTGCTGTGACTATGATATCAATTAATAATGTAGTTTTGAAGCTATCAGTTTCCACTGCATGACTGATCACTAAATCACTGTATTTAAATGTGAGCATCAAACATTCTCTGAGGAACAGCAAGATGAAAAAACAAACAATAAAGTCAAATCAAAGTGCAAAGTTCACGGTGCAATGTTATGTGGTGGTTGTATGTCCCCATTTAATTCATACTGCATGCAACAAGATACTTTGTAAGGGCAGCTGCAGTGTTTACTAAAAGTAAAAGTAAAAAGTATGTGATTTGGAACGCAGCGTTTGCCTAAGGCAATTACCAACAATTCATAGCACTGTGACGTTAAACATGGGGTTACCAGGAGGTGTAAAGAAAAGAAAAAAAGGTAAATAAAGAGGAGGGCACGTTGGCGTTCGGCCTGGCATTTTAAATTGACACGGAAACATCATAAAAATGTAATCAGAGGAGTGCAACCACAGACTATATCACACACCTGGTTTATTTATCAACCATTTCTTTTAGTTTGGCTTATTGCAGCTGCTTCGACAGAAATAGAGAATATTCATATAGCGAATAATAATAGTGAATACGATTATTTGACAATTACCTCTCATCTCACAAGGCAAGAGCAAATCAGGCAGGAAAGAAACAGAAAGGAAAAACCCACAGTTTTACACAGAATGTTCTGGTGTCATCAAGGTAATGTGATATGTGTCCCATTAGTATTTATGACGTTCCAAGCCCTTGCAGCCTCTCACACAGTTAAGCCCCTGAGGGTTCAGGGCTTAAGGCCTTGGGAGGGGGCACTGAGAGTTGGCTTAGTGCTGGAAAAACACTCAGGTGTTCAATTGGGTTGAGATCTGAAGGTTGCAAATCATTTTGATTCTCATCAAACCATTCAATGTGATTTATGGAAACATCTCCATTTTTTGTGTTTCATGTTTCACTCCTTTATTTAGGGCTTTCTCCAGTTTGTCACCAGCTTTATTTTGTAGATCTATCTAGAATGTAACCCTCCCACTCTGACTGTACCAGCAGACGAGCATTCATGCATAATTTACCTTGCAAAGTCGGCATTAAATGTATGGTGACGGACGTAATCTGACACTACAGCTGTGTCTCACTACAACATTTTCACTTTGTGTGGCCTGAATCAGATTTCTTCTGCCCCAATTAGCGGCAGCCTGAGTTAATGTTAAACCTGTACAATGAATAGGATCTTAAGCATTTAACACTAATTGTAAACACATTGGTTGTTATCAGGTACAGAGCATGAAAAATACTGTGTTTATTGCTTCTTATACACACAACAACCACAGGAATGAATCTGTATGACTTCAGAGGCAACAATGGAGACATTAAGTGATTGATTTGTTCAAAACTGAGTATGTTTACATTGCATCTTAGTGGTGCATCTCTTTTTCTGTCCAGTGTTCATAAACATACAAAACTGGCAATTCAACATGTGTTTGAGAAAATGTTTTCTGTCCATTAGATATTTACTGTATTTTTTATGGATGACTATAAGCCTTGAGGTGGAACAGAAGCTGCATAGTGAGGATGTTTCCTCCTCTTGCAGCAGAGGGCAGCACCAGCCCAGTTAGTAATTACTCACAGTTTGTCTCAATGCTGCTCTTCCACTAAATGGCTACTATAAAATAATACCAAACTAACTTTTCCCAGTTGGGATCAATGTGCAGCAATGCAGCATTCAGTTCGATAGCCTCTGATAAATGAGAGAAAAAAATGTAATAAATGGTCCGTTATAAACCGGATAAATAGGATCAGTGGAAGTTACTGTAGATAGGGAATGAGGTCATTGCTGTTCAATGTCTGTGAGGTGTTTTTAGAACAATAACAACTCACAAGCTTCTTTTATGTAATATCCAAAGCTGGATTCTGTACTGTGATTAATGATATTGTTTCATAATTGTACTGGTAAATGTTAACCAATAATAATGCGTATTGCTTTTTATCATCCGTGTGAATGAGTTAAAAATTTGTCCTAATAAAGCTGCTCTCTGCTCATGAAATATTAAATGTCAACAGGCTGGAGGGTGAAGAAGAAGAAGAAGAAGAAGAAGAAGAAGAGACCTCTGTTACGCCTGTAAGTCAACTGCTGATCAGACTCAGATTGCATTGGTGAATTTATGTATTTATATGTGTGTGTGTGTGTGTGTGTGTGTGTGTGTGTGTGTGTGTGTGTGCGTGTGTGTGAGAACGCTCGTAAATCACAGACTTGAGTGTGTTCATCCAAAACCTGATTACTAATCTGTTATTGTGTGTGTCAGACTAACTGGTAAAATACCTGATTACTAACTGACTGCCTGGCATTATATTTCTATATTAATTTAAATAAACTGACTGACTGGCTGTATATAAATGTTATATTTAAATAACCTATTTTGCACCCTTACCTTAAAACACCCAACCAGTGGACACTGATAATGAACAGGCTGAAAGTAAAATATCAACTACATCAATGTTTTACTATCATAAACCATCAGTATACAATTTGTTAAATATGCTAAAGTCATAAAAAAATTCTATATAACAGAACTAAACCACGTTCAAAGACTGAAGGGAGAGCAGCAATGATGAATTCACTTACCTGTCGTTACATTTGTGAGATTTCACCTGTTTGTTTTCATGGTGTTTCATATTTTTGGAAAATTTCATCACTCTTCAAATAGTCCTGAAACAATTGGTTGGTTTATTAATTAGTTTATGAATTGAGTGGATACATGATTTATTAGCATATGTTTACAAAATAATTTAAACAAGACTGAGAGTCTGCAGCCACGCTACCACCAGGGTATGGCCTACAGAGACACATGTTGCCCTGATGATGGTGCTAGAGGGAAGTTATTTCAATTCATGCAGCGATCCATGTCTTGTTGTAAAAACTACAAATGTCTACCTCATATAGTGGCGCTATATGGAAACCAAAGAACTACAAGTCAGTGGGATTCATCCTCTGGGGAACATGGATGATAAAAAATAAATAAAATCTTGTCAATCCATCCAACAGTCTGGACCAAAGTGGTGGAACAACCCTTAGTTTCAGCTTTAGTCTAACAAAATATAACATAATAGATTATTTCGTTGAACTTACTGTAAGATGTCATGGTTTGGAGCCCGTTGCTGTGTTGCCGCATGTTTTGATTGAGTGTATTTTGGATTGCATCATAAATGTTGCATGTAATGTGGACCACAGGAGGAAAGCTTCTGCTCCAATGGCGCTAACAGGAATCCAAATCAAACAGAATTAAATTAAATATCGTTGCTCTTGAGGGTAAACTCTCACACACAGAATGACATGAAATAAATACGTTGCTGTCGATTAGAGATATTGAAACATCTGATCCTGTGACGTCTTTATTAGAATTTTTGTTCCTTTTTGTCAGCCAGAAATGAGCTCAGCTCCACTGGACCACCATGTTACACATAGATACACAACCCCCCCCCCCCCCCCCCCCCCCCCCCCATTCCCCATCCCAACATCCTTCACTGGCAGGTTACCATGGAAACAGGCTCAGTATCCACCGCCTCCACAGTCACTTCCTGATTGTCTTTGGATCCCTGCATCCATCCGACCCTCCCCCCTTCTTCCATCGGCATCCTCCCTCCTCCCCCGCCCCCACAGCCGTCACACAGACACATTTATACAATATTTTACAGCCCTCACATAGACGGGAAACGTACATGAATGGTTTTACTGACTAATATGACCAAATGTTTATAAATGAGCAAAACGTAGAGGCAACATAGACATGAAAACAGCCAGGTTCTCTAAATATTATCAGGCAGATCATGTTCATCCTTGTATCACTGACTTCCCTAAAATCTAGATAGTAAGCCGTGGATATTTTGAGGCAGATGCTGCATTACACACTGGGCAAATAAACATATTATATATGAATATTAATATCTTGATATCTTCCTCTGAACAACAGCACCCTGGCATCTACAATATATTTGTCCATACATAGATAATGTATATCAACTCACAGTAAATCACTTCCATTTGTGGCGAATCTTTCACTTCATTAAAGGTACCTTTGTATGCATGTATTTTAACCTCCATTAGACACATTTTCATAAAGCCTCAGAACATTTAGAGTCACAAACTGGGTCAATTATGGACCCAGAAACCGATGACTAAACACATAAAATCCTCAGTGTGCAACGGCTGAGACAGTGAAGGAAGTAGGTTAGCACACATTTAAAATTCACTGACAACAGCAACTGCAATGTGTACCACAGAAAGTGTTTTTCCCATTTTGTTTATCTTACCAATGGATCGTTTTAGTAGACCACTGTATTTGCTTAACGATTATGAAACAATTTTTTTAATTCAAAATGTGAAACATCTTCTTGCTCTATCTTCTCAAATAGGCAGAATTGTTGCTTTTCTCTGTTTTATATCAAAATCTTTAAGGCTTTTGACAGTTGGTTGGACAAAACAAGCATTTTTAAGATGTCACCTCGTGCTCGGGGAACTTGTGATTGACATTTTCTTTTCATTTCATTTCCTAGATCAATTATTAATTAGTATTCATCCCTGTTTTCGGCCCTGGAACGAGCAAGCTGCAGGAAATGTCGCATATACCTTTAAAATGCTCCAGCACGGACATCTCAATATACTTCTGTGAATTTCCACAAGCACATTTTTCTGACACATTATCAGATATCATCAATGGCAGGGCTTCATATTTGGGTCACGGAACATATTCGCACATTAAGTGTCACCAACGTCATGTATCAAGTTTTGTTAAAAAAGAATGGTTAAAAAACAAAACAGATTGACTCATTGGTAATAAACGTTGTTTCTATACACTGGTAAATGACTGCGTTGTGCTCCCTCACATCTATCTGAGGAGGGGAGGGGGGGGGTTCAGCTGCAACTGGATCTGTAGCATCAATAATACAGTGATAATTAGTCTGACTGACCCCCCACTGTCTGCTGCTCTTGACCTCCAGCAAGTAAAGAACCCAGTGACTGTGAACTGGACACACCTGACTGAAGACTGCTGTCCAAACAACAAACCAGTCAAGCTCTGAGCAGTTGTGACAGTATATGCGATACCTGCTGTGCTGCGTGTCCAACCTGAATGTTTAAAGCTGCTGCTGTGGGAGTGAAGGTCTTCGTCTTCTTCATCCTCATACAAGTATAGTTGACTGATATCAGATAAACGGATGATAGTTTTTAAGCATCATCATCACTCAGAGAAAAGGTGTTTTTGTTTCTCTACTGTTTAGCTGGTCCCCAATCAGAGGACAGAGTAGGGACAAAGAAAACGAGTACATAATTAGATGTTTTAACAAACAAACAAAAAATACTCCACTAATTAGCTTTTTTCCCATTTTCTAACCACATTTTATGGTCTTCCTCATTGGATGGATCTAATCCAGCTCCAGGAAAAGCCAGTAAGTGGACCTTGAGTTTTTTTTTCTGTGAAACTGTTTCCACGGCCAAGGATGAACTTTCACACTAAACTTGTACTGTAGTGTCGTTATTAAATTGTTTAATAAAGCTTGGATACATAGCTAAAAGACTTACATTTGTGTCCTGGTGGCCTTGTCTTTTCCCCCATTGACCTGGTATGAATTAAACCAATTTCATTTTAATGAGATTATTTTGAGGCTTTGCTTTTAAATCAGAAACTGTGAAGGACACAAAGACGAATAATGAGAGACAACAGGCGTGATGAAGGTCATCATTCAGGTTTCAGAGCACCTCATCTGACCAACAACAGCTCACATCATATGTTACATCATTTCTCATCCAACTGTCTCCCCTTTGAAATATGTAGACTGGTATCTTACAGGGGATTCAAGCAGTTTGTGAGCTTTCAGATCTGAATCGATTACAATTAAGACACACAAAGAGGCAATCATACAGCCCTGTACACACACACACGCACACACACACACACACACACACACACACACACACACACACAGTCTGGGCAGTACTGCACTGCAGCCAGCTGTTTTAAAAAGGTGATCCGAGGCTCATGCAAAGGTGGAAGGGGTTCTGGTGGGTCTTTACATCCGTAGAGCAGCAGGACGTTGTGTTTTATAGAGTTTCTGAGCTTCATCAGGCCATTTAGTTTCCTGTCTTGTAGATCACTTCCTACTTTAGTTTATTACCTCTTAGGACTCAGCACAGGTGGAGGTTTGTGTTTGTGTCCCAGTTGTAGAAATGTTTAAGAGGCTCACTGGCCAAAACAGGAAGAGGAAAAGAAGGAAGATAAAATAAATAATTATAATAAAGAAAGAAATCCTCTTCACTAAAGCTTCATTGCGCCGTCATAGGTGTGGCAGTGTGACATGCTGCCAGGGAGACATTAGAAGAGGAGGAAGTGATGGATTTTGGGGTCTGGCACCTGCAAAAAAAACAAAAAACAATATAATCTCTGCCTTCACATACGATTTAGGCACAGGTTAATAAGATTAATCAGCAACATTGAGATCACAGGCTGCTGAGCAAACGAGAGATAAACCATCAGATTAGGAGCGACTAAAGAGGGTGTGGCTAATCCTGAATAATCCCATTTAGAGACGCATTGACTCTAAACCATTTACACTGGTTACATACAGGCCAGTAAAAGCAGGTTTTCCACATACACAAAGTATTATTTGTATAAATGGATACTATAATTAATAGTGGAGATATTTCATTTAAAAAATTGTCCAATTCCAAAGTGAATATTGATTTTTGAGAGTAAAAAGTATTATACTATATAGTATATTATATTATACTATAGGCTTTATTCTTTATCAATTAATCAGGGTAAACAAAAACAGATAACAATATATTGGCCGACATTCATCTTTTCACATATACACATTGATAAGGATCACAATCATAAGGAAATGATTGTGATCAGAACATTTTACAGTGGAAAAATAACTCTTAAAATATATCTTTGGCTTTATTGTTCTGCAATTTCTTGCTACTTATTGGCTGAGATATTATTAAATAATATTGGCTCTACCTTTTATACAAAAACCCTTTTTGGCAAAGATCTCTCAAATGTGACCATTAAAGATCTGTGTTGAAGATATGTACTGGAGCCTGATATTTTACAGTTGAACAGTAAAGTTCAAACATGACTTAGAACAAAGACAATTCAAATACACAAATATACCAAACTTAATAAAGACAAAAAAAAAGTCTTTATCTTGCCAACATATGCAGCAGTACAGTATGTGTGAGAAGCCAATGCTAGAAGGTGACATCAGGATAACATCTGGTCTCACCAGGAGCGAGACTTGCGGACGCGTCTGTCCTTGGTGGGCGAGTTGTCCAGAGAGTGACTTTGGTTCGGCTCCGACTCCGTCGAGCGATCCAGTGCGGCGGAGTTTGGAGGAGTCATGTCGAGCTCCAGAAACATGATGTTCTCAGCCTGCACACATACACACGCAAACGCACATGCACGCACGCACGCACGCACGCACACACACACAAAGTGAGCTGGCTGCAAATCTCTTTTAGGAATAATCTCACTGTCACATACAAGGCTTTGCAAGCTCTGGTTTCAGGGTTTAAAAGGAAATTTTTAATCCCTTCTGTTCAGGTTAAATATTAAGGGGATCAAGCTTTTTCTGTGCTGGCTCCTCTCGCTCCATTTTCTACAGATGAATATGTTGAATAATTGATTATCGGTTTCCACATGCTGCGTATGTCCAATCATTGTCTTTTATTTTCCGAACTCTGAACATCACTTTGTGCTTAAAAAACACTAAACAAACTATCATTGCTAACTTAGATTAGTTAGTAATGACAATTAGTAGGTAGACAGGAGGCAAAAACATTTCATACACTGATCAATTTGGAGATGTTGGGCTAATTTGCTTCCATAACATGTCTTGTTTCAGACTAGTGGACAGAAAACATATACAATTTGTAGAGTTTCACATACATATCTTGAAAGGCTGTTTTCTCTAAATGTTTTTTTCCCAGAAATATCCACAGAAAGAAGCACTTACATACACCAAACTTTCCAGTTTCATTCCAATCTATATTCTGAATGTTTTTACAGAGGAGTTTGTTCACGTATCATTCATAACCTGATGTATACAACATTGCATTCCTAAAAACATGGTGAAAATTGACTGGCTTGACAGTATTTTCTGATTTATGGAGTGATAAATAGAGATATCCAAAGTTCCCTCTGTAAAAACCTTTGACTCTAATAATGTCAACAATATGAAATAAGAATTTATAACCCGGCTTTATCCAATGTTCAGATGCCTCATTTGAATATATTTAAAAATACAATTTCAGAAAACTAAACGAATTGTTATAATGTAAGTAATCAACTGTGGGAGTTTCATGGTGATATCTATTAGTTACATGTTTTTTACCCCATTCACCTGAGGTGTCTCCCCCTAATTCCCATTTTTCTTAGTATTAAGGAATATTTTTCAATTTAGTTCAGACATGTTTTATTATTAAGATTAGTTGCACACTACGTAAAGATGCAACAATTATTTTATTCATCCAGCAATTCAACCACAATGTCATTATACCCTTAAAGATGAAAAAGGGAAATAATTAAAGTACTCCACAAATCCCTCCCTAACCCCCTAAAGATTTACGCCTTTCAAACCTACAGGGAGAAATGTTTTCATAATTAAAAAACTAGATATTTGGTGGACTATTCCTTTAATTCATCTCATTAGCACATCAGCTGTGTTAGTAATCTCTGACTGTCCTGGCTTTTTTAATACCAGAAATGTTTTATTTATCCAGTCAGTTTCATCATGAGAACACTACACAACCACTCACACACACACACATACACACACACACACACACACACACACACACACACACACACACACACACACACACACACACAAACACTTACCCTGTATCTGGAGTGAGCTCCCATCACTATGGCAACCCTGGCGTACTGGCTGATTGGTCGTTTGTAACCGACTGCAGACGCTGGCCTTTTCTTCATCTGCGATGAGGATTTACTGAATAGGGGGAGAGACGGGGCCATCAATGAGAAATCAATGTCAAAAAGGCCAAAATGCCTTTTCGTGACACTCTATACAAAAGAAATATGGCGCAGCTTTCTCTCCAGTTGTGGATGACACCACATCAGCACTTTAACTGTCTGTTTAAAGGGCTTCTTTTGTTTGAATAGCAGTGGAGGGTGACAGGAAAGACTCAAGAGAAGAGAAGAGCGAGTGACAGGGAGAGCAGGAAGGTCAAAAACATCGTGAACCATGACTGAAATTAAACACATTCTTGAGTCCATTATTTCCACCTGATGGCCCCGATGCGAATAACATCCCAACATTTCAAACCCACACTGACCTTTCAGCAGGAACAAGAGGCTGAAACTTCCACTGATCCTCTTCTGGATCAAAGGTCAGTCTGTTCATGATCTTATTCTTCTCCTCTGGGGGGATGAAGTTCTCTATGATCAGATACCTGCATGTGCAGGACACACAGAGGGTTTACATTGTCTGTAGAGTTTAATAATGCGCTCTTTATGGTTTGTCTCTATGGACTGTTTCATCTATTCTTCTAAATGTTTGGAATAATTGTTTTACTCTATGATAATCAACATTTATTTGTTTGAGCGACGTATAACTGAAGTACAGTCCAAGTCACAGTAGATCAATCAGGTTGATACACGTAATCCAGACGTATGTGACATGTTGATATGGATCATTCCGCCTTCATTACCATACATGTCAAACACACCGGAGCCGTCGGCCCCTTGCATTGCTGTATTACAGGATTGCTTTTGGTCTGAAGGCCCACTAGCAGGTGATGCTCATTGGTCAACACATCAGCTAATATCAAAATATGAAGAAGCATATTTTCCTCTCCAGCTTCCTCTCCTTTTGTGTCTAAAAAGTTAAGTTGGGCAAAGTCTAACAAACATTTTCACAATAGTAACAAATGAGAAACATGTGAGAAAAAACATGCAGTTCACGTTTTTCTATTTATTTTACTTTACTACTTACGTACGCAAATTATATCAAGTTTGCAAAAGCTAAATGCTAATGTTGCAGAAATTCATATTGACGTTCATCCGTCTCAACATCTGTCAGCATGTCTCTGTGTTTGGACTCATGACATCACTATCTGACGCGTCTGCTGAACCATCTCGGCATATCTGCTGATTCTGCCGACTCCTCTGCACGTTTGTTTTTTCGACTCACTTGAACTTGAGCTCCCTGGTGAGCTCGTTCTGAGTCTGTTCCAGCTCCTGTCGGCTCCTCACGTGCTCGTCGTTCACGTCCTGGATCTCCGCTTTGATGCACTGGAGCTTGGCGTACAACTAGAAGGAGAGAGACAGAGAGAGAGAGAGAGAGAGAGAGAGAGAGAGAGACAAACGGAGCGGGTGAGGAGGAGAGATGTCGCCCAGTGCAGCGGAGTCGCTGATGAACTCTAGCTTGGTTGCCCGTAGCAACAGCACTGGAGGCACTGGTGTCTGGAGAGAAGGGCATCCAATCGGAGCGCTGCAGCGCGGCAGCCCTCCCTCCCTCCTCTCAGCCCTCCCTCCCTCCTCTCAGCCCTCCCTCTCTCCTCTCAGCCCTCCCTCTCTCCTCTCAGTCCTCCCTCTCTCCCGCTGTGCTCCTGAGCTTCCACACTGTTCATGCTTTGACTGCACAGGCTTTAAAACTAGTAGGCTAATCCTGGCTGTAGTTAGCCTTTAAAAAAAGATGATGCTGCAGTTTAAGGTAACGTTTCACCTTTGAGGGAGAATCTGATCAGTGAGCAGCAGCTGGTCACTCACTTTGTGTGGTGGCAGCTTGTTTTTTGGCATTTGAAAAATTGGATTTGTTGATAAAAATAGATTGAAATTGGAATTTTTGAAAACAACACTGTGGCCCATGGAAAACAATCCAGTGCGCAAGGACATGATTAGAGAAATATACCTCTGATGAAATAAAGATGTCTTGGCTGACGCTTTTCTTGGATTCAGACTTCTCTTAGTATATAATAATAGAGTGTTGGGTGTCTGGGACCCCTTGATTGACACTTCAAACCCCCTGAGAGCATCAACAGCTACATTTTGGGGGGGGTCTCTAAAATCTTTAAAGTAGCTCCACGAACAATTGTCACTAAAAATTAATTTCAAAATCCTACAATGTCCAGTAGTATTCATTATTCAAACTGAAAAACGTATTTTATTCACGACTACGAAGGGTGCGTGCGAGAGAGGATTTTCCACTGTAAATGACACCCAGAGTGAGCTCTAAGAGAGACAGACTCCATTTCTGATTGGTGGACTTAAACAGATCCCTTTGGAACCCCTGGTCGCCACGTATTCAGGCCTTGTTGTGATGTAATTATATTCCACACAGTAAGTGTGTTTACATTCTTTCATTCACTTTGTAAAATAGAAAACGTGTCGAATTTATATTTCTCATATTTCCTTCCTTGTAAAACATTTGCAAAGCAAATTACTTGTTTATTACATATTACAAATTACTCATTTGTTTACATCCATGTTTGCTAGTCTTCTTCGTTACTGCCTTTGTTGGTGTATTAACGCTCATAGAAACACAACTACACAGCACTACTAGTGGTCAAAAAACTCTGAAGAGTGCATTTAAAGTCCAAGCGCGGCTTAAGAAGGGCTCCGTGACTATCATCAACCACCGCTCTCCAACTGCAAAAAGTTCAGCAGTAACAGGAACCCTCTGAGCTCTGAGATAAATCTAATCTTTATCCTCCTTCTTTTCCTCAGAGAGACGGCACCATGCAGTGAGAGAAGGGTAAATGGCACACGTTAGGGCATCAGAGCAAAGATCATCACAGGATCATTAATCACATTGTCATCCACACACACACACACACACACACACACACACACACACACACACACACATACAACGGGTTGTTTGGGGTTAGTCCTGCTGGCCGTGCAACGAATTGGGAGGCGAGTAGAGCGGGGTGAAGGGTTCACAAGGTTGGGAGTGTTGTTTGAGGGTTTGCACTGAGGGATTTATTGGCAGATTTATCAAGGAAGGGCAAACAGATTGAGAAGGTTAGCATGAGAAGCGTGAAGAGGCCCAAGATAGGGAATGACAGAGGGATGGGGAGGGGTCCAGCAAAGAGGAGGGGACGGCAGGACGAACCTTGAGGCACTGAGAGTAAAGTGTGTGTCCGAATGGACCATGTGTCCAAAGCAGGGGGCCATTAGGATCCAGGTCAGGGGTCAGGGGTCAAGAGGGGTAAAGAGGGATATACTGACATTAGGAAAAAAAAGAAGGAAGGTGGATCTGTATCTTCTGTTTATAAAAGTGTGTGCACTTGCTGCATGTATAAATGAGCGTGTATGAGAATTTGTGTACACGATCCTTTTCTGAATTTAATACATAGATGTAAATAAAGTATCTGAGCACCTTCTTGAGTTTCTTGGTCTTGGCCTCCACCTCCTGTTGCAGTGAAGTGAAAGTCTCTCTCAGCTCCACCGTCTCGTCGTCCCGGACCAACATCTGCTGCTGTATCTCTCTCTCGCTGCGCGTCTGAAAGCATTTATTAAAATGTCTCCTTTCTGCTGTTTGCGGTTGTATTTTTTTTTCTCCATTGCATTAAACAGGTTAACCTTCACCTTTCCGCACAAGCACTCCTCTCCACAAACATCAAACAATATATTATATTAAATTAATTGAATGCATTTCTTTACTTAAAAGTATTTAAAATAATTACTCATTTAAAAACAGTTTTAGAACCTAAGGATGGGTTTTGTATTACAATAAACGGAAAAAAATAGTAAAATATAGTCAAAATAAATAGCACTTGATTTCATAGACTGTATATAACAAGTGGACGTAGTCATTGTGACGTCACCCATTGGTTTGTGGATTATCGTTTTGAAGCCTTGAGTTCGGCAATTTGTAATGTGGAGGAGGGCAATCACAGTAAGCCCGCCTTAAGACATATTCCGCTTTATGGTCTATTTTACTCTAAATGGACCATCATTTACTAAATGAACATCATGCTGTCTTGAAGAATACTTGAAACTAGTGATTGACACCATAAAGTCATGTTTACAATGTTTACTGAGGGAAAAAATCAAGTGTGAAATAGGGTCGTTTTCTCATAGACTTCTATACAATCGGACGTATTTTTGAAGAAGTTGCCCCCTGCAGAACCGGAGGTTGCAGAACTTGCTTGATATTGGCAGATAATCTCAACATTATACTCATTATTAACAGACCGGAAGCAAAAAACAAGCGAGAAAACATCCTCATTCATTCACGGTTCCACTAATCATTATTTTGCTGCAGTATCCAGTAAAATGCAGTTTGTTGCCATGTAAAAAATATGAATTATTTGTCTTATCTATACAAACAAACAGTTTTACCTGCTCAGCAATCTCGTGCCTTTTCCCCTCCAGCATCTTCTGCTGCTCGTTAGTGTGATCGATGATGTTCTTCCCACCAACCAGCAGCTTGCTCTCCATTGCCTGAGAAAAGCAAAATGGATACGTGGATTTATATTTAGGAAGAAGAACCTGTACTGTGTCCTTGTAGCAGCTACATCATCTTCAAAGACATGGATGGAGTGTCTCTCTTGAGGTCAAACTAAGTTCATTTGGACACCTAACAGTTAAGTCTCTGTGAGTGTTAATGTGTGTGTTGGAGCTGCAGTCGTGCAGACATTGTGCTGACGAGGCAGGCGGAGCTGGAAGTGGGCAGCTTAACATCCACGATGACACCATCCCACAACAAGCTGAGCTCGGCTTAAAACGTTGTAGCACCTCAGACATGAATCACGTTCAAAAGTGTCTGATGACCAGACTGAAATATCTCGACAGCTACTAGATGGATAGCCGTGACATTTTGTGGAGACATTCATGTTCCTCAGAGGATGATTCCCACTGACTTTAGGGATCTACTGACTTTTCAACTATAGCGCCACCAGCAATGGGATGGATTGCCACGACATTTAGCACAGACATTCATGTTTCCATCAGGATGAATTATAATAACATGAGTGATCTCTTAACCTTTCGTTTAGCGCCATCCTCAGGCACGTGTATACCACTATTGTTATTGTATAGAGCTACAGATTCAGCTTAATAATGTCGAGAGGATTAAACCAACAAGTAAGAGTCTGTGAAGCCTTTGTGAGGTTTGCTTTCCCTGACTTCTAGTTATAATTTCTACCTTTTAAAAAATAAAATCTAAGCCGCAGATTTGATTAAACATTTGTGTGTTATCTGAAGAAGAATCACTATCGTTTCATGCTTCTGTTACAGCACCTTTGGTTATCGTGGAGATTAAAGGCCTGAGGTCACGGTGATGCAATCTGTCTTGCAGGGTAATCAAACACATATAATCCCACACACTGCATGTCATGATGACAGAAATCTAAAATGAACATAGAGAAGAAAAAATTGTGAGCAACAAGAAACCGAATAGAGGAAGAAGAGAAGAAGAAGGAAAAAAGGAGGGGGAAGAGAGAAACATGGGGCCCAAAGAGGGCAAACAGGGGCCACGGCCATTTTATATTGGCCACATTCCAGTCTCGGAACTTTATACAAAAAGACAGTGTGTGTCAGCTGTGTGCAGCCTATACGTTCTTTATTACTAGCGCGCACACACACACACACACACACACACACACACAAAAACCCCAGATTCATGCAAAGAGTACAGTGGAGTCCTTCAGAGAGAATGCATCTGCAGCAGGTCTTTACAGAAAGATTCTTTGTTTCGAGCTGTCTTTTGTGTTTTGTGTGTGTGTGTGTGCGTGTGTGTGTGACACTGCCTGGTTTGCTGCTCTTTGTGTTTTGTCATATTCTTTCAGCTTCATTAAAGGGCTTATTCATGTCACAGGTTTTCACTCTCATGCATCCCTGGTCTCTTCCTCCCTGATAGGCTGGTTGGATAAATCCTTTACATCAAGGCTTTTATGACTTAAATGGACAGCTCAATGCCTCACCAGGCACATACATCATGCCATTATAGTGAAGAAGAATGCCTATTCATGTTTTAACTGCAGTAAAAGATAGCAGAATCCACTTTGAGTCTCACTGGGTTCATGGAAGTATGTACATGGATCGTAGAAAGAACACGTGGTGGCAGGAGACGAAAGCAATGCAGGAAGAGATAAATGGCCTGATAGTTATGAAGCACAAGGCTCTGATTGACCACATGAATGAGAAGAACATCGTCCACCTGAAAGCGGAGCTGATGAAGACCGAGCACCACAATAAAGAGAACGAGGCCTTGAAGTCGCAGCTCAGTGCCGCAAATCAGAAGATAAGTGAGATGGAGGCTCTTCTAAAACAGAAAGAGGCTGAGAAGGCTGTGGGAAGGTCTTCCAATGTAGTCGGAAAAATCACCGCTGCCCTGAGAATGATAAGGGATAAATTTAAATTCACGGCCGATCCGACGGAGACCGAGGAGGAGCTGAAGACTCAACTTGACTCAACCCTTGACTCAACCCTTCAGGAGGACCTCCTTGCTGTGGAGGCCCAGCTGGTGGAGACCAAAGCCTCATGTGTGGGTCAACTAAACCAGCAGAAGATGGAGAATCAAAAACTCCAGAATGCTCTGAAGGAGCCCGAGGAGGAGCTGAAGACTCAACTTGATGAAAGGCAGAAGGTCAAGATTTACCACCTGGAAGAGCTGGAAAAGTCCAGAAGCACGTTTCTGGCCCAGTGGGAGATCCATAAAAAAGAGACGGATCAGTTCATGGCCGACCGTCTCCAGTGGGAGCAGGAGAAAGCCTCCCTGCTGCAGGAGATCAGCGCCTCCTCTGTGGCTCTGCTCAACCATCAGAAAGAGGAAGTCGACCACTTTGCGGCTGCACTGAGGAATGCCGAGCAGTATTTTGAGGGTTTTCGAGAGTGGCAGGAGGAAAAGTCGGCCCGAGTGAGGGAGAAGCTCAAGCTCAAGCAGATGCTGCAGAAGAAACAGCAGGAGTTGGTGACCAAGAACCTCCTCGCTGT